AAGTAATTACCTCCTAAACTCATAGTTCTTGAAGGTCCAAAAAGGTCCATGTGCAAAAGTTGTAATGGCCTAGTCGTAGAAACAACGTTCTTTGACTTAAACGAGGCCCTTACTTGCTTCCCCTTTTGACATGCATCACAAATTAGATTCTTCTCAAACTTAAGTTTAGGAACACCAATTACTAAGTCTTTTGAAACCAACGTATTAAGATGGTCCATATTAACGTGAGCTATCCGACGATGCCATAGCCACGTTTCTTCCTCTTTGGTAATGAGACACTTAGCTAAAGTAGACGGGGAATTTTCAAGATCAAACATGTAAATGTTATCTACTCTACTACCACAAAGAATAGTCTTATTGTCACACAAGCTGAAATGTCAAGATTGCCAACATACAATGTCAAGTTTCTTATCACTATCACCAAATTTTGCTGAAATTGTGAGTTAATTTAAACACAATTAATAGAAAAACAATCAAACAAAAAAATTAAAAGCAAAGCAATCAAATACAAAAATGAAAAGAAAAAACCAAAACAAAAATCAATGCCTAATGAAGCATCGGCGGCTGAGATTCAAATGGTGTAGTTTAAGCGTCTCATCATGGCGGCAGTGATGGAGATTAAAGGAACATCGACATCGATGATGGTAGAGGCGCTGTGTCAGCGGCGGTAGAGGCGCGATATCAGCGGTGGTAGGGGCATTGCAGCGGTTGGGGTGCTGGCGTTGCTGACGGCGGCATGACAGAGTTGAGCAACATTAATGAAAATTTTGTACAGTTGAGCAACATTGGCATGGTACAATTGATCACGGCATGACACAATTGAGTGGAGAAGAGGATACTCCTATTTTGGGGGTTTTATCTTTCAACTCCTATTTTGGGATTACTCAATGTTTTACTCCTATTTTGCTTCTTAACCCTATAAACAATTTTGATTAATTTATAACAATATATAAACTTACTTAAAGGTAAAATTAAACATTTATTATAAGAATCATACTATATACCATAAATTTGCAACGACACTTTGATGTCTCACATTGTCGATGGTGACACCGTTGTTGCGGAGCAAATCTCCGACGACATAACGGTGGAGGGAACACTACGTTGCTTCAGATTGAACATTACAATATTTACGAATGAAAACTACATTGTGTCCAAATTATTCATAAATAAATATTACTACCTCCGTCCCAGTGTATTTGTCCAGTTTGACTTTTTCGAGTCAAACTGGACAAACTTTGAACTTCAATTACTCTTAATTTATATTGCAAATTAGCATAATGAAATACAATTTTGAAAGTTCTAAATACGATAAATCTAATAAAGTCATTTTTATGTTAAAATACATTACGGTTTTTATTTAATTGAAGCTCAAAGTTTGTCCAGTTTGACTCGAAAAAGTCAAAGTGGACAAATACATTGGGACAGAGGGAGTATGATTATAATGAATAAATGTATGAAAATGAACACTAATTACTTCAGATTGAAAACTAGGTTAGTTCAAAGTGAATATTTGTCACTTGTAATAATATTCATTCTTCATACTCCTTCCATCCCTAAATATTTGTCACACTTGTATTCCCGAGACAAAATATCACGTTTTTTCAATTCATTTTATTTACATATTGGTATAGAAATAAAAAATAAAATTTACATATTAAAGAACTATATGAAAAGTTCTTTGAAATAAGAGGTGTCAAAAATATTTTATTTTATCAAATAACCAATGAAAACGTAGAAATAAACAAAAGTTTTTGCGACTGGTGAAAAAGCAAATGTGAGATATATTTAGGGACGGGGAGTAGAAAAATAGTCTAATTGTGGGTATTGAAAAATATTTAAATGAAAAAGTGAAAATCGCTCTACAGGTGTTCCCACTTTAGGAAGAGCTATCCGTGTGCTTTATTGGGAGAGAGAAAGAGATGGGAGCGGAGAATTGGAACTTGACGGCGAAGCTGTGCGACTCCTGCAAGACGGCGTCGGCCGCCGTGTTCTGCGGCGCAGACACCGCGTTCCTCTGCCTGGACTGCGACTCCGAGATCCACGCGGCAAACAAGCTCGCGTCGCGCCACGCGCGCGTCTGGGTCTGCGATGTGTGCGAGCAGGCGCCGGCGAGCGTCACGTGCAAGGCCGACGACGCCGCGCTCTGCGTCACGTGCGACCGCGACATCCACTCTGCGAACCCCTTGGCCCGCCGCCACGAGCGGCTTCCGGTGGTGCCCTTCTACGACTCGTCCTCCGCGGTCAAACCCCACAGCGGCGGATCTGACTCCGTCTCCTCCGACGGCGACAAGTACTTCAGCAACGAGTCGGACAACCATAACCCCGACACGGAGGAGGAGGCGGAGGCGGCGTCATGGCTCCTCCCAAATCCGAATAATTTCAAAGGAATGGATCTGGAAGAATCCGAATACTTGTTCGGCGGGATGGATCCGTATCTGGAAATGGAAATGATATCGGGCGGCGGAGATCGGAAGCCCCACCGCCGCAATCACCACCACTATGACACAGATGGGGTGGTGCCGGAGCAGAAAAAGAGCTGTACCGCCCTCGTACCCGGCCCAGTAGTGGATGGATTTCCGGCGTATGAAATCGACTTCGCCGGCGGCGGATCCAAGCAGCCTTTCATGTACAACTTTGCTTCCCAATCCATCAGCCAAAGCGTATGTCCCCTTTCTTGTTCTTCCATTTCTTTAAAGTAAATCCCACATTCTAAAATGTACTGCGGTTAAAAGTGGAAAGGCACGCATGTTTTATTCTGCAAATTTCACATCACAGCAACCAAATGTAATTAAAAGGAATAAAAGGTCAAAATTTAACCAAGGGAAACTCACAATTAGGTGACATTAACGCTATGTCCTTTTGGGTTGAAAAAATTAATTTCCAATTTCTTTTGGTTCTTTTCAATTCTTTTTAGTTTCTTCCAAAAACTTAAAAATATATGTATATATGATTAATATAAAATAATATTATATATCTAAATATATACGGAGTAATATTTTGCCCATAGACAATGATAAATTCTTTTTTATCCAAAATTTTTCTTGATGAACTCTTAGTTTCTTCCAACTCCTAGTTTCATACAACATCCAACATCCAACTTCCAAAAGAACAGGGCCTAAAAGTTAAAAGAATTCATAAAAAAAGTTGAAAGAATGTTACTCAAAACTTTCTTCTTATTTCAGTCGACGAAGTTTGATTAAAGTAACTTAAAATTCAATTTATTTGATTATAAGTATAAAAAATTTATAAGTAAAATTTGCATACGTATTAAAAAACTACTCCTTCATCCCAACTTCACGGGAATTTATATTTATTTGTGTTTTTTCATGGCCTATATGATAAAATAAAATATTCTTGTCACCACTTGTTTTGTTGAACTTTTGATGTAGTTTTTAAATATGTATGTTTTATTTTTTATTTCTATACCAATATTTAAATAAAATAGATTGAAAAAACTTGGGATTTTTCTTCGTTTTGCGAATCGGGAAGATCATTATAGGACGGAGGGAATAACACTGTTACGAAGTACTATGACTATGAGGCTTTTCGTTTACTTTTGTTTACTTGAATGTGTTATTGATCCTTTGATAATGATAAAATATTTCTATCACATATTGTTTGATTTTAAAAAGTTACATTTTTTAAAAATTCTATACCAATTTGTGAAGAAAACAAATGTAAAAGGCATAAGATTTTTCATGTTTTAACAAACAAAAGATGACATCCCTATTTTATTGTACTCCCTCCGTCTCAAATTGTTTGCAACATTTCGAAGGACATGCAAATATCTATCTCTTTTAAAATTATTTTATTTACAAATTGGCAGAGAATTAAAAAGTAATAATTACACTGTTCAAAAGTACATCAAAAGTTTTACAAAATAAGATGTGATAAGAATATTTTATTTTATCAAATAATCAACCAAAATGAATAAACAAAAGTTAACGAGATGCCGAAATAGCAATTGTGACATTCTTTTTGGGACACGAGTTTCAAACAATTAATGAAAATTGACAAAAAAAGGGACGATTCGCATAACATTAATTATCAATGTCATGAGATGTCTCAGGGTCTAACAGTACTCCATTCGTGAAATTGACAATTCTTACCCCCGACTCTCCCGGCAAACCCCCTCATCCCGCCCTAACCGGAACCCACCCCCATCCGCTTCAATGCACCTTCCAAAATTTTGAGTACAAAGTCAAATAAACTTGGAGGGTCCAATTAAAGGGGGGAGGGTGGGGGTTTGCCGGGGGTTAAATGGGATAGGAACAATCAATTTTTTGAACCGAGCATCGTAGGTGTCCCGGGTCATGCTATAACATTGCCGGGCAATGTCACATGAACCGGGGTTAAAAAAATGAATAGAGTTTAACTGTGTAAATAGTATGGAGTAATCGGGAAAAAAAGCTTTAGGACAGAGGGAGTAATATATATATTCATTTAACTTTTGATGCGTCACAAAAGTCATAATGATGAATGAATTGTGAAGGGATACACTACAACTTTATTGTGGGATAGAGGCAGTGTAATTTTACTCTAAAATTACCTTACTCAACAAACGTCCCATTTAAGATTCCTATTTTTTTGGGACTAGGAACTGATAGTTCCCAAAACCAGAACCAAATCTTGTCCTTCCAAACCCAACAAATTTAAGAAGTGAAATGCATTCCTCAAAAAAAAAAAGGTGAAATGCATAGCCAAGAATGCTGTTTTCCAAATTGCTTAAATTTGCAGTGGCGGACATTCGACACTTGCAATAAGTGTCATATTATGACACTCGATCCATTTGTACACCTTGCGGTGCTCTGTTCGATTCCGAGTGCTTCTTACCATTTAATTCCACAAACCCGTTGCTCCCCTAACCAACCATCTCAACTCAGGTGACCATCCACTTCAAAAGTTTGACTCTAAATTGTTACTCGAATTGGGAGTGGGTTTGGGGTGGGAGTTTGTAGAGTTTGGGGATAAGAAGTACTTCGGATTGAACGGAGCATCATTGGATATAACCAAATAGACCAAGTGTCATAATATAACACTAGATTCCTGTGTCAAAAAACCCTAACTGAAATGATACAAACGGATTACACCCAAGTTGCAACAACTCATCTCACACATGTTGGTAGGCCACACACTAGGATCCACACGCATGTGAGAGTGTATGTACTCCCTCCGTCCTACAAAGTTTATGTTTTCTCACTTTTTTTAAAAAAAAAATCATTCCAAAATATTTTTTTCCCCACTTTTTCTCATTATCTTTTCTAGAAAAGAATATGAAGTTTAACATGCTACTTTCCTTTGACCAAATTCTAATTGCTTACCTTTTAATATTGTACTACATCTTTTCAATACTTTTCTATATCTACATGAAGTCAAAGTGAACAAATTACTTTGATAGAGAGTATATGTTAAAGAGCATTTTTTGATAAATTTTCATAATTTGTTTTCACTAGATCAGTCTGATGACACTGGATCATGAACATTAATTTTTCTATCCAAATGTGGCATTGATAGGTGTGAATTAAAATTTCTTTTGGGTGTTGTATAGGTATCATCCTCATCTTTGGAGGTGGGAGTTGTGCCGGACAACAGCGCCACGACAGATGTGTCTAATGTTCCGTTTAACCGCGCGCCGGGTCCTGCGGATGCCGCTCCCAACCCATTGTCCGGGGTGGACCGAGAGGCGAGGGTTCTGAGGTACAGAGAGAAGAGGAAGAACCGCAAGTTTGAGAAGACGATACGGTACGCTTCTAGAAAGGCGTACGCCGAGACTCGGCCGAGGATCAAGGGAAGGTTCGCCAAGCGGTCCGAGATCGAAGTGGTCCCGGACGCTTCGTCGTATGGCATCGTCCCCTCGTATTAAGCCGTGCAAGGCGGAAGTAGAAGTGAAGAACGGATAATTTTGGGTGATTGATTACTGTGTTGATGTTGATGTGTATAGTGTTGTACTATATGCTCGATTCACTTTGGTGGTCGACTTTCATGTATTTTTCATCCTTTTGCATTATGTAATGAATGATCAAAATTTACTAACTCCTATCTTCGTACTCCCCCCTACAGTCTATAGTTTCATGTTTAACTTCTCAATGCTTGATAAATTCTTGGATATATTTAAGAGCAATGGTGGTGTATCCCATTTGTCTCTCACCCCTTTCTTCACCACATATTTTTATTTTATTTTTAATTATTTATTTATTTTTAAGTTTTTTGCCCATTTATGTGGACAAATGGGATACCCCTAATTTTATTTTTAATTTAATTTATTTGATTGTGCGTGTAAAATTTTAAAATAAAATGTATATAATACTTCCTTCGTCCTGAAACTATCTTTCCAGTTACTATTTACATGGTCAAATATAAATTGCTTTCTTTACCTATTTTTGCTAGTTATTTGATAAAATAATATAGTCTTGTCACCTCTTGTTTTGTTAAACTTTTGATGTAGTTTTTAAATATATAAATTTTATTTTTTAATTTTACACCTACAATCAAATAAATTAAATTAAAAATAAAGTCGGTCAAACCTCGTAAACACAAACGGGAAGATAGTTTTAGGACGGAGAGAGTAATAATAAAATGAAATGAAAATTTTTATAAAACAAAATGTGACAAGATTTTATTATTTTATGAAATGAATAGTATAAATAATCAAAGAAAATTAAATTTGACCATGTAAATAGTGTCTGAAAGGATATATAGGAGACGGAGAGAGTATTCTTTTTATTTATTATTCTTTTTATTTATTATTCCTTCGAGATATATTCATTACTCCCTCAATTTGAGAATATTCTTTTTATTTATTATTTCTCCGAGAACAAAGACTAAAGTAAGAGTAAAACATTAAAAATATACCGAAATAGGAGTTGCATTTTTTATTCCTGAAATAAGAGTTAAAATGCTTTTACATTACCAATCATGACCATGTATTATTATCAAAAGGTATAGTAAAATGCACATGTACATGCCACATTACCATACTGCGAACTTCTATTTAAGAAATAAAAATATGGAACCCCTATTTTGGTAGTTTCTCTATGTTTTATTCCTATTTAAGGGAATTTTTTCCCTCTATCTCAGTTTAAATTGTTTGTTATTTACGAGGTTGGACTGAAATTATTTTTTAATTCAATTTATCTAAAATCGATATGGAATAAAAAATAAAATTTATATATATAAAAATGACAACAAAAATTCTATAAAATAAGAGGTGACAAGACTATTATTTTTTCAAGTGGGTAGCAAAAAGTGGGAAAAGAACGTGGATAAAGTTTGACTTTGTAAAATAGTGAAATTTGCACAGAATATGACTAAAACATAAGTCATTTCCAATGTAGGACTTAAATTTTTTTATTCTCTAAATAGGACTTAATAATGACTAGTGAAAAGGATAATGTCCAAGTGATGCTGGACATTTAGTTGAATAATGACTAATAGATAATGACCAATGGTCCTACATTGGAAAATAAAAACATATGGTCCTATATTGAGAAAGTCATTATGCTTTAGTTCTATTTAAGTAAATTACCTAGTTTTACTCATTTTGTTTGCTTATTTTCGGAGTATAATAATGTTACTTCTTATTTATACTCAAGATTTAAGTAATTTTTAAATATATAAATTTTAGTTTTAAATTTTACATCTAAAAACAAATAGATTGAATTGAAAAAAAATTGTAATTGCACCCACTAATATAAATTTGATGTTTGAGTAACTTTAGCAAAGTTATGTGAAAGGTGTGGATGTAATCATTTAAGAGATGAATTTAACAACATAGAACTATTGAGAAGTTAAAGCATCTCCAATGGGTGGTAAATTTTGGTAGTATTTATTGTATTTTAGACTATCAATAATGTTTTAGCAATCCACTTTTTCATTATTACTTCAACCATATCTTTTTTAAAAAATAACCTTGCTAGGGATACATCCAAAAGTGTGCCCTAAATTGTATCCCAAAAAAATGTACCGACATTCCAGTTTGACTTTTTCGAGTCAAACTAGACAGACTTTGAGCTTCAATTAAATAAAAACCGTAATGTATTTTAACATAAAAATGACTTTATTGGATTTATCGTATTGAGAACTTTCAAAATTGTATTTCATTATGCTGATATGCAATATAAATTGAGAGTAATTGGAGTTCAAAGTTTGTCCAGTTTGACTCAAAAAAGTCAAAATGGACAAATATACTGGGACGGAGGTAGTATTAAAGTTCTTTGAATTTAAAAATAAAAAAGAATGATGAGCACAATTAAAAAAATTGAGAGAAGTATTATAGGGATGACAATGCTCTAATATTCTTTTATGCCATAAATAATAATTTCACTTCTACAATGTTCCACTTTACATATTGATAAAACCTTGAACCATCATAAGCAAATCATGCTTGTAAATATCATTTTTAGAGTACACCTTGATGTATGCAGCAAGTTAAGATCTAGTTGAAAAGGAGAGATTTAGAACTTGTTCTCTTCATCTTATTTTTTTACTTATTATTTAGTTGTATTAATATTAGATTGTATCCGGAACAATTTAAAATATAATAACTTCAATCAAATCGAATTAAAATTTAATAGAATCAAGTCAGATCCAAGAAAACAAGCCCTTGGTCTGACTTGCTTGTCTCCAACTTTAGCTCATACGCTACACTAACAATAACATACGCACATGACACATGCCTTGTTGTGAACTTCAAGTTCTCTAATCCTATAACCTATTACCTAAAATAACATTCACCAACACTCCATCAACTTCTAAACCCACTACATAATCAATATATAAGGAAATGATACACTTTCATCACACTACTTCTAGGCCTCTAAGGCCATGTTCTTTTGTGCAAGAAAAACTAATTTTCAACTTTTTCCAACTTTTTTTCAGTTTTTTCTAATTCTTTCCAATTTCTTTCAACTTTCTCCAGTTTCTTCCAACTACGCCTTAAAAAAGTATTTATGCATGATAAATATACAATAACATTATATATCTAAATTTATAATATATCGCCTCAAACATGAAAAATAATGAATTTTTTTTTATTCAAAATTAGAATTTTCTTACATATTTATTTAGATGATCATTAATTTATTGGCTTTTTAACACTTTAATTCTTTCAAAAAATTTCAACTCCTTCCAGTTTCTTTCAACAACCCCTCCCCCTCCCCCACTACGAACCATAAGGGATATATAATCATATAAATGCCTTACTATGCCGAATGTACAAGCAAATGAACAAGCAAAGGGAGAAAAGCCTTGCAACTACCCTTTGATCATTTTCCGGCCTCCTTGACTCCCTTCCAAAGAGGCAAGTTGATTCTTGAGCTCCTTCACGTCACCACTCATCCCACAACTCGCACACGCTTTGATCATGATTCTATACGTCACCTTATCAGGCTTAAACCCTCTGCGCCCCATAAACTCCACCACTTCTTTCATCTCAGCAATGCATCCCATCATCCCATATGCACCCACCAGGCAGTTGAAGAACACATTGTCAAGGGCAATATCTGAATTTTCGGCGAACCTCAGAACCCTTTTGACCCTTTCGGCCTTCCCGGGTTGACCGTAGGCTCTGACCAGAGAACAAAGCGTGACCCGGTCCGGTTTGATCCTCTCGGACTGCATGAGCCGGAAGAGATGCTCCATCTGGTTCAAATCTCCGGCCCTCCCATATGCGTCTAGCACGATATTGTATGTTACCAAAGTCCAGGAGAAATGGTACTTGTGCATGTATTCCATCACGGCACTCATTTTCTCGTAGTTCCCGGTTTTGCCGTAGGAATCTAAGAGGATGTTGAAAGTCTTGATGGTGGGGTCGATCCCGGAACTTTGGAACTTCTCGTAGCATTTCTCCATCATTTCTATCTGCCCACTGCCACCATATGCTCTCAATGCAGAGTTCATCGTCCACAAATCGGGACTACACTCTCTCCTCCGAAGCATTTCCACAAGTACAGATTCCATCTCGGCGAACCTTTAGGGTCCGTTCGGGACCAACATAATGTTGGGCAGAGAAAATTCAGATGGAAAAAAAATCTAAGGAAAGTTACCAAAGAGTTCAAACTCAATAAATCATTTTTAGACAACTCATATTAGATACTCCCTCCTTTTCCGAGAACGGAGGAATTATTTCTATTACATAAAGACGAAGAAATAGTCTTGGTAAATTACTACCTGTTTTAATTCTTAACATGTAGGGTGAAAAACAGTGATGGTTTTTCCATTTGCCAAGGCAGGAATAGGGGAGCAATAAGTACACTATCCATTTCACAACAACTGTTGTTACAGGTTAAGCACCTAAATTCATCAAATATTTTAGAATCTTGTAAAAACTAGTACTATACCTAAACTACCCTTAAAGAATATATCATCTTGGAACGGTTAGAAATGACTTTAAGTGAGAATACGGTTGGATATATGGGATAAAGGGGGAAAATATTGATAAATGGTATCTTGGTTTTATAAAACGACATAGATTTTATTTAGTTTATTAAATAAAATTGATATTACATATTGATACAAAAATAATTTTATTAGATTCATCTTGTAAACTGCTTTCAAAATATGGTTTTGTCTAATTTATATACCATATGATTTTTATTTAATTATAAGGCAAATGTTGATTTTGATTGATTCCAAAAGGTCAAAACTGGGCGAATATTCTCTGACGGAGGGAGTATAAAAAATAAACGAATAAACGAAAGATTAAAAAAAGAGATGCTATCAAGGAATTAAAGCACGCAAACCTTTTTGCTTTGCCATAAGATTCCATGAGGGTATTATATGTAGCTGTATTGGGCTTGATCCCCTCACATTCCATTTCTGAAAGAAGATCTCTTACTTTACCAAAGTCATTAACTTCCAGGCACGATTTTATGAGAGCGGTATATGTGAAGACGTCTGGTTGACAATTAGGCGTGCTCTTCATCTGTTCAAGGAGTGAAAAGGCATCACCAAACAGACCACTGCGGCTGTATGCAGACAAGAGAGCAGTATAAGCTTCTTGATTCACATCACACCCTTCATCAACCATCATCTGAAACAAGGATTGAGCTTTCTCAGGTTGCTTACATTTTCCAAGCATAACAATTAGTTTGATATACACACCAGCATTTGGCTTGTACCATAGCTGCTCGCGAAGGAGTTCAAAGATCTGTACGTAGAAAGAGAATTGAAAACAAACCATCAAATGGTGTGTTAAACGCTTAACAACATGACCATAAACACAATGTGGGTCCAAAATTAGTTATCTGCTTTTCTTATTTAGTAAACAAACTACGATGGGTTAATAAAAAGCCCTTTGGATGCCATAGTATCATTGTTCACAAACTCATCGAAGACTCCTTAACACTATGTTTGGTTCAAGGAATTTGAAAGGGAAAAGAAAAGAAATTAAGATGGAAAACAATTTTTCTTATTTGGTTATAGAGGAGAAGAAAAGTGAGTGGAAAGAAAATGAAAAGGTAAAATATACTAAGAGAAGAGAAAACCAAATTCCTTCCATTTTGGTGAGGAAAATGAGAGAAACTCATTTTCTTTTCTTTTCCATCTTAATTCCTTGAATCAAACATAATGTAAAAATGAGATATTTTGGCAAATGAACAACTACATCCTGAAGGACAAAGTACCTCTATTGCCAATTCAATTGTGAGAAATGGTGAATACAATTTGCAATTCTAAAATTGGACAAAAAAGTTAAGAACAATACTCCACGCGTCCCAAAGTACTTGTCCAATTTGACTTTTATCAATCAAACTAGACGAACTTTGATCATTAATTACATTAAGTTGCATTAAGCATTAATACAAATACAATGAATTAAGTTATGAAGAGTGTTTTGTAGACTAAATCTAATGAAATCATTTTTCTATTAATATGCAATGTAATTTGTATGTAATTGATGATCAAAGTTAGGCCAGTTGAATGGGACAGGATAGTAAAAATGGGGAAGAAGGAGTGAAGAAGAGACCGTAAGAGCGGATTCCCAGCGCAAAGCGGTGACGCGTTCGTGAAGAGCTTCAAGAACATCTTTGGGCAAAAGCTTCTTAGGGTTTCCCTTTTTCTTCTTCTCAATTACTGCTTTCATGGCCTCCCTCCTCAAAATTATGGAAACCGCTTTCTGCGAGGCTATCTTCCGGTTTCTTTCCTCTATCCTTTCTCTGGCATCTTCACCTTTCCTCTTGGGGACGCCGATTTTTCTCCGTGAAACCTCCATGGAAACTGCTTTTCCTTGATTGGCTAACAGAACCCTGTGCGCGCTTGGTATGAGCTTCCTATTGTGTACCGATCCAGGAACACAATAGGCTGCCGGAGGAGTTACCGGTCGGCGGTTGAGCGCTGACGGGAACCGATTAGAGGGTCCTGAAAGGGACGCCGCCATGGCACTGCCGCTACGACAGTTGAGACAACGGCTGGTGGGTGGGGTTACTTACATAGGACAATCTTCATCTTCTAACTCAGCCTAGAGCCCTAGACTAGACATCACAAAACCACAGAACCAGAAGCTATTACCAAACTGAGTGCTCTGAAATGGAAACTGAAATTATCAATCAAACGGGAACCGCCTTTGGAAAGTTTGGAAAAAATATCACATCCAAATATTAATTGTTTACATTAATTCTAAAGTTACTTTCAGATAGCCTTTATAAAATACTAACACTAACTTATGACGCTAATGCCAAATAGGCATCAGATACCCAAAATATTTTGAACCGTAAAAAGATATCCATATTTAGATACTCCCTCCGTCCGCCTAAGATGTTCTCATTTTGACTTTTGGTGGTTTTTAAGGAGAGTTGAAAAAAGGTGAAAGTTTACCATAATACCCAAAATGGGTGGAGTGTATTAAATGAGGTGGGTGAGGTGTAATAAATAAAGTAAGTGGGGGTAGTTGTGGTATTTTACTTGTTAAAAAATGAAATGAGAAGATCTATTGTGGACAAAGAAAAAGGGCTATTGGGAAGATCTATGGTGGACAGAGGGAGTATTATTCAAATCAATTAAACTCGATGATGGTGTTAATACCGTGCAAATATAAAGTACAAATAAACGGAAGGGTTGTAGGTGGGAACACCTGTAACCCGGTTTGGTATTAATTGATATGGGACTGTTTACAAAGTACAAGTCGTGTGGATTAATTTAAGCATGCCTCACAAATGAGGCTTTTAGTCCCATTTATAAAAATGACTAAGCACTTCAAGCACGTCTCTGTTCGTCCGGTCGGTCAGTCTTCAACCGGTCGGTACACATGCCTTTGTTAGACGAAGCCATGCTCTTGATATTGGATCTTCTTTGTACCAGACCCGTCAGACTACCCGGGCTGATCAAGTCATGGGGCGCCAGACTCAGTGGCGGATCCAGGAAATTTTTCCATTGGGGGCATTAGTCCCACATTGTCTTCCAAATTGATCTCTAAACAAGTAAGAAAACAAACAATAGACTCTGTCTGCTTTCACACTGTATTCTAACCAATTACGATATTTATCAAACCAATCTTCAATTAAATGCTTAGGACGATTCCCAATCATTCTACGTAGAAAATCATGGCCACGAGGTTGACATGGTCCTCTAATCAAATATTTACTTCTTATTTCATCTCTTTGATTAGGGTGATAATCTAAAATTCTTTTTCTTTTCGAAATATCCCGCAGAAGATCACTTAAATCAAGTTATTTAGGTAGTGAAGGTGCAGATGGTCCAGAATCGGGTGTCGATGGAGTTTTTCGTTAAAAAAACTTCTCTATTATCTAAAAAAATAATGTAATAAACTTTTTTAGAAAATTTAAAACAAAAATTGAAATAAATTATTTTAAAGTATATCAATTGACAAATAATATCTTTTCAGGGTAATCAATTCTAATGTTTTATATTAATATTAATAAACATAAGAAAGCAAGAAATTAAACAATTTCATAGAAAATAAAAAGTTAAATCAAAACATAAAAAATTCACAGATAATGACATAATCACATAAACCTAATTTTTAGATTTATATAATTCATTAGATCACAATTGACAAGGTTAAAAAATCATAATACCTGAAAATCTAGACCAAAATTCTAGAAGGATTTGCCAATCGCCACTAGCCACCTCTGTCTCGCAGCCAGTTGCCAGTTGCAAAGCACAAAGGAAAAATCGAATGTGGTGTGTGCAGTGGCCAGTGTGCTCTGCCGATAAAAATTCAATGGGAAAAGGGGTATTGTTTTAATGATTGGGCTTTGGACAATTGGATATTTGTGTTGGGTACTTGGGCTAGACATTATTTGGATTGAATTGGGCCACTGGGCCAATATCTAGATTTGAATGGGGGGCATAACACATAAAACTGAAAAAAAAATTATTAAAAAAAATAAATCACTAGGGGCAGCTGCCCCCATAATCCCTAAGGTAGATCCCTAAGGGGCAGCTGCCCCCATAATCACTGGGTTATTATCCATCAAGGAGTCTTCCGATTCCCGGCTCCGTGGGTACCATAAGAGGTGGGAAGCAAATATGAAAGTAATTTTTGAATTTCAAGTCCCCGGGCAGTTTTGGCGGGAAAATGTCTTCTGGAAACCGGCGCTAAATATATTTGAATTTTGAATTTTGAAATCCCGGGTGCGGAGGGCGGGAGAATCTTTATTGAAATTCGGTATGGCGCCGCCGATTTGTCGTTCCGTTTCGTGTCCCCGAGAAGTTATCATTGCAAATCATTTCGCCTGCCACGTGTCGCTCTCCCATTTGTTCGTCTGGGCGGCACCTCCCCTATATAAAGCGAGGTTCCCCATCGAATTTCTTCACTTGCAATTCATTATCCAAAAAACTGCCCGGTTGCTACTACTGTCTCTTGAGTCCTCAGAGTCCTCTAGTCTCAAATAAGTCTTCTTTCCCTTCTTCGTTTCTTTGAGTCATGTCTGAGGACAGCCAGAACCCTTCTGTTCAGTCCTATGGTTCTGATGCCCGGTCCCAGGCCTCCAGTTCCCAATCTTTTTCCTCCTTTTTCTGAGCCCAGCCAGCGCCTGGCTACTCCTCAACAGGAGAAGCTAGGCGACGCCACCACTTCTGCCCTTTCCACCTCTGCGGCACAAGTGGTCACGGTAGCACAGTCCGTGGATGAGGGCTTTATTCTGCTGGACGATCAGTTGCTCTTAGAGCAACCGTCCGTTATGAAGAAAGCTCAAGTCCACGAGCTGCGCCACCTTCTTCCAGAAGGTTACCAATTGTCTTACCGGGCAACCTGGAAGAATATCATTTCTCTCCACACCGGTACGACAATTAGAATCCACTACCATTCCATCAAGGACTTGGGTGAATTCTCCATTCACCCTTTCAAACGAGATGGCATAAAGAATGATAACAATAATAAAGATGTTATTTTGAAATATATATTTTGTACGAATATGTTAAGCTTCCGCATGTATAATAGTTACTCCGATATTATCAATAAGTAAATAAGTTTTGTTTAATGCTCCATTTTCCGATTCAAAAAGGTACACCCGTTAACACCGCAAGTCGGATATTCGAATAAATTTGGGTATTCGGGTAGTGGCCTCTGGAACGTCATCTGAATCCATTTCGCCTCTTACATCATCTGACGAAAGAAATTTTTCTAGAAACATAGACTTTCCACAAAATAAAAAGACCAAGACCACATCTAGTGTTGTGATTAGTAGTCCATCTTATACTTATCCACTATGTCCTCATTGCCATCGTCATCACCCTGGAGAATGTTGGTATATTACTAGAGCATGTTTGGGATGCGGTCAAACGGGTCATTTAAGACAGAACTGTCCAATCAACCCATCGGTAGCAACACCAACACCAACCATGACGACATCCGTCAACCAACCCAATAGAGACAAAGGAAAGCAAAAAGTCTATGAAACTACCAACGAGGGAACAAGACTAGCACGTACACGGACATAACAATGAGAACACGAGAAGATGTCCCCTCAAATAACGTCATTGGTGGTATATTTACGTTATATAATTCTATTATAACAATCCTTTGACCTATTCAAACGCAAATTCGGTACCACATCATTTCCATGGCATGATGCATAATAAAAAAAAATTCGAGGACAATTTCTTAAGTGGGGGAGAATTGTAATGTAACACCCTAATCCGTCCAGGTCTGCAGCCCCTTCCAGACTAAAGTATTAACTTGGTAATCGTAAAAATTTAAAACTTTTCAAACACACTTTATTAATCCCAATAATTTTTCATAACATATACAGTACGGAGTATTCAACAATATTGCGGAAGCGAATTTAATTTTGACATATCATAAATCATTTCAAACTTGTCACATCCATCCCGACAATCTCGCC